CTACTTCAAGAAATAATAGAACATTTTCTATATAATACCAGGTCAATGAGCTCCCTTCTATTCAAATGGGCCTTTTGCAACCCAATTTCATCAGTAAGCTTTATTCCATCAATCCATTCCATTGTAAGCACAGCCGTCCTAGTATAGTCCCAAAATATTTTGGGGACTTTAACACCACTTGATTTCTTATATTTAAGAGTGCCATTGACTGCAGACCTCTTCTCACCGCCGCCTACTTAATTTTTATCAAGAAAATCATACAAAGGCTAGTCAGTTATCAGATTTCAAATGATTCGGCAAAAGAAGACACTTAAAAATTGAGAAGTCCCCAGAGCTAGGAGAAATTTTTTAGTCAGAAATTGAATATCTATTGGATATTGGCTTCAATCTATGGAGGTAGTAGTATTCTCAAAACATTATAAAAATACCTTAGCACTTACATGGTTGACATCCATAGAGAGAGAAAAAACGCTCAGCATTTTTCCCTTCTTGAACATAATCGATTTCGTCAAACATGTGTCTGACCTGTTCATTTAAGGAAAGCTCTGAATGTGACAACAAGCAAGGCAATTGACAGTCTAATTAATAAATAAAGAGAGAGAGACACACACAAGAGGAAGACAAGGGAAGCACATCCCAAATCTTTTAGAGAACTCAACACCTCTCTATGTTATTCTAAAGTAATGGGCAGTACAGACCATGCAAGAAGACCTGAATAGTTAACCAAGAGACAATTGCTTGAGGGTTTCATAGGCCAAAACAAAAAAAACAAAGCATATAAATCTTAAAATGCATCTTGACCGGCAATGTCAAACATGAATCAAGAAAAATGTTGTCAAACTTCCAATACCATAAAATTAAAATGTATGATTAAGCATAATTTTCAGAAAATATTCAGAACTAAGGTAACCACAGAACGGGGAAAGCAAATCCCTTTTAAATGAGCTACTGGGTTGGCTTTTGAGGTTTATATGCGTAGTGGGTTGGCTTTAATTTTGGGTATTGGATTTTCTTTTAAATGGCCTTAAAGACATAAAACTTGGAAAACCTTAACATGTGTCTTAGCCATGTCTTTGTAAGTTCCTAGCCATGTCTTTGTAAGTTCCTAGCCATGTCTTTGTGAGTTCCTAGCCATGTCTATGTGAGTTCCTAGCCATGTCTATGTGAGTTCCTAGCCCTGTCTTTGTGAGTTCCTAGCCCTGTCTTTGTGAGTTCCTAGCCCTGTCTTTGTGAGTTCCTAGCCATGTCTCAGCGCGTCTCCGCCGTGTCGGAAAATGGAAAAGAAAATAATAAAATAGACATGTTGTTTAACTTGGCTATTTCACAAGTTTCAGTTCTCTATAGGCCACAAATGGAAAAGAAAATCAGTTTTTAAAAAAAAAAAAAAAAAAAAAAAAAAAGCAAACGCTCACCATTTCATTAACGGCTACTAATAAATCTTTTCGAGCCTTTGCAAATCGTTTTAGTTGGCCACCAATCATCTGGAACAACAAGGCATCAAGAGTCAATGAAAGAGACATGCCAGGCCTTTGTACCTTGACTGCTACAAGCTCTCCAGAATGCAGGTGAGCTGCAAGACTTGAAGCAGAAAAAATGGTTATTTAACTTTAGCTTACATCAAAACTTTAACATCAATATTTGAAAATCCATTTCGCAGACAAATGTGAAGAAATGGTTTGAAAATTTTCAAACAAAAGATAAAAAAATGGATACCACTTACCCTTATAAACCTGCCCTAAGGATGCAGCTGCAATGGGCTCTGAGCTAATATCAGCAAAAATTTGGGAAACAGGACGTCCCAACTGGTTCTCAATAGATTTGATTGCTTTATGAGTCGGAAATGGAGGTATTTCATCCTTGAAAAAAGAAAGTTCAAACTATCAGAATGGTTTGAAGAAAGTAGTTGGGAAGAAAATCACGCTAAAGATTATTTATAATGCATATAGTATCTGGCCGGCCACATCAAATTGAGAATTAAGAAAAGCTTGCATACCTGTAACCTTGCAAGTTCTTGGCAATAAACTGTTGGCAATATATCTGGTCTCGTGCTCAAAGCCTGACCAAGCTGTAATTCAAGCAACATTAAGTTATTATATTATTAATAAAAGCAACAGATAAACATTGATAAAACCTTTTGCGGCCTCATTTCACATAGTTACTGATGCTTTGAAGCAGATTAAAGAAAATGCACAATTCCAGAAGTTTGAGGTTGGACGGACATTTAAAAATTTACACACACACACAAAAAAAAAAAAGCAGAGAGAGAGAGAGGGCTTGCCTTGACATAGAAAGGCCCCAATCTGATTAGAGTTTCTCGAAACTGCAGGAAACAAAATATAAAACTTAAGTTAAATCATTGAAATCATGCTCTATAATACTTTCTTTCTTTGCGATAATTAACAAAAAAGCAAATGGAACAAAAACATCCACATTTTTTAAACACAAACAATATTGAGGGAATGGTACGCATAATATTTAGACCAATGAAACTTCATTCACCACATTTTATCTATGCACTAAAAGATAATTCACAGATGAAAACCTTTGAATAAATGTGTAGGATAATACCTTAATAGCTCGTTTTTTTAAGTCACGAACAAAGAACTGCCATATGGTTAGGTTGAACACATGGAACGAAATAATTGCTGCTCTATAGAAGGCCAAAAATGGACCAAAATGATAGATGGAGGAGAGTCTTTTGGATCTGTAAGTTCCAAGTGCATGCCCAAATTCCTTTTCCAGCAATTGCTTCCTCAACTTCGCATACTCTGCAGATGGCCTTTCACCATGTACACTTGAATAGCCTGTAGAAAATCTGCATCACAATATCTAAGTAAATGCCTATTGCAAACAGAGAAATGTTACGCAAAAATAAAACGTAGTAAAAACTGAAATCAATCCCTTCAAAAACTGAAAATAATCCGGTCCACTCACGAGTTTTGATGAAACAAGTTCATCAACAGAGAAACATTTCGTCTCCTCGGAGCATAAATGTCCTGCAAATACCCCAATGATATGCTTTTTCCAAAATCATTGTCAGGGCATACATCTGCAAAGGAAGCAGAATTTATAAATTGTAATTTAAGTGTAAAGTAGTTACATCCTAGCATGCAGCTTGGTCCCCTATTTTCATTTCAGTGATTGATTCAAGGATCGAATGCGAACAATTTTGATACCAGGTCCTAATTCACATCTCACGCATCATAATGTACGGATTTTGCTCGTTTGGTGGTGGTGTGAAGGCGGTAGTACTATAGTTCAAGAATATTTGAGCTCGTCGAAATCTATCCTCAATTAGCTAAGTTGTTCTTTACCAGACAGGTACAAGTTAGAGGACAAAATGTTGCCGAAAATCAAATTGAAGTAAACCAATGGAATACAATCAAATCAAGAAAAGTATCAACTGCCGACAAAGATAATTATAACGCGATTAACAGAAGGAAAAGAAACAAAGAAAGATCCGAATGTCATCGATAACCAATAATGTTCTCCAGTAGAGTTTTCTAGTGATTTCTCACTCACCAGGCAGACATCGCAGCTACAAAAAGAATCATAAAATGCAAGTAAAAGTGGTGAAGATAAACAAGAAAGTACTTCGGTAGGCCGGAGTGGCCAAGCGGTGGCGGTTGAGGCGCGCGACGACATTCCTCATCGGCTAATGACTATAAAGAACAAAAAATGCAAGAAGAAACTGGAGAATCCATCAGATATGCATCTTGTTCCACCAATTGCTCGAAAGAATGAAGGAATCTGAGAGAAAAAACCTGCAGAGAGTAGTGGGCGAAGAAGGAAGTGAAAGGGGCTGGGTGGTTTGCCTGAGGAAACGAGAAGACGCCACGTTTTGGGTCTACTTGGCGCCCTCCCGCAAACACCAAATACCTGTGGATTTCACCCTCTTCGAAGAAATTGCTATCTAATAAAATAATAACCAGATGAACAGTAATTATACGGCACTTGTTCTAATACGACGAATAAGTCAATCGTGTGAAAATCGTAATTCGATGACAATTTAGATGTATGGTCGAGCTTCAGGGTTTGAAAATTGTGCGCTAACATCGCATCGAGAACAATTCGAGCGTATTGTCGAGCTTCAAGGTTCAACAATTGTGCACCACTTATTCTAACATGGTGAACAAGTTGTGAAAATCGTAATACGAGGACAATTCGGCTGTATGGTCGAGTTTTTTAGGGTTCAACGATTGTGCGACACATATTCTAACATGACGAACAAGTCAGTCGTGTAAAAATCGTAATTCGAGGACAATTCAAACGTATGATCGAGATTCGAGTCGTGTTTGTGAGAAAATGTATTTAGAAAACGTGAGAGAGAAAATGCGTTGAAAACAATCTATAGGCAGAAAGCAAATAAACAATCACCACAATTTTGACAACATATAATTTGAGTATGAATAATTAACTACTAGTCACTGTTGGATGATGAAAGTCCCACATCTGTTGATATAGGGAATGATCATGAGTTTATAAAAGCAATGAATACTATCTCCCTTAGGTCTTTCTGGAAGCCCAAAGCAAAGCCATTAGAGCTTATACTCAAAGTGGACAAAATCATATCATTGTGGAAAGTCGTGTTCGTCTAACACGGTATTAGAGCCATGCCCTAAGCTTAGTTGTGCCTTTAGATTAAAGAAAAATGAGTCGAGTTTCAATTAAAGGGAGGTGTACTTTATTTAGGGGATCGATTAAAGGGAGGTGTACTTTATTTAGGGGAGGTATTAGACGATGAAAGTCCCACATCGGCTAATTTTAGGGAATGATCGAAAGCAAGTAGAAGGTCGAGGGGAGGTGTTAGACGATGAAAGTCTCACGTCGGCTAATTTAGAGAATGATCAAGCAAGTAAAAGTAGTTTAGAACAGATATGTTGGAGTCATAGACCACGTCGTAGACAAGCATGATCGGAACGTCGAAAACTATTTTTTAAAATATAAGAATTAAAATTAACGTAATGAAACTAAAATAAACAATTTTAAAGATCAAAATATTCCAAAGGGAAAGAGTATTTAAGCGCTCTGCGTGCAAGTTCGACGGAGGTAAATTTGTAAAATCCTCGATTTCGGTTTTGTATTGTTCATTCCTTCGGTCTCCTCACCGATCTTTCTCCGGCGAAAATGGCGAACGAGCAACGGTCATCGATAGGGCCCTGGTTCCTCGAAGCGATACCCTTAGTTATTGTTCTTCTCATAGCAGCTCACGTCTTCGCTTTGGTATTAATTCCCTGACTCCGATCTCTTCGATCTTGAAATTGTGTTCAAACTCAAGTCGCGTGTTTTCTCACTTCCTTGCAATATTTGTAGGTGTATTGGATTTATAGGTTAGCGACTCAAAAACAACCTCCCAGGACGAAGACTCACTGATTACTGTATGATTCGTTCCTGAAAGAAACTTTAGGGAAACCCTAATTTGTTAATTGTTGTGTGACTGATGTTGTGGAGGCGGCCAAAAAGAGCCACATAACAATGTTTCTCTGTAAGTATCTGTCAGTGTGTACTCTCAGAATTTTTGTTTGGTATCATAAGAATGTGGAAATGTTTCTTACAAATCAATTTTGATTTGTATGGTTATTCAATTATTGAAATTTGAAGGATCTTGTTTGGTTTTCGTTTTGGAAAGCTGATTTATTTGCTGATTTATACTAATTATATGAACAAACTTGGCTTTTATAGGACTTCTCCAAACTCATTTAGTTAATGTAGGTCTTAAGTTATCGCTTGAAAGCATGTTTCCATTATGATAGGTGAAGAATCATCAGGTCAAGAAGTGAATGAAAGCATTTTATTCTGAAATCCATTGTTGAATACACTTTATTCTGAAATGTATTGTTGAAGAGTTTGTTTTACGAGATTTAAAATCTACAATTCTGCTATTGAATTTCTTTATGAAAAAGAAAAAAACATTTGGGAACAAATATCTTGCTCGATTTCTCACTAGGAGTAGCTTCCTTGTACCATGGAGAACGAATTGCTGCAGCTTCTTGTGGACTAAGAGATCCATTAACTTGTCTCCTACCAGAGTTCGTTAATAGTGACAAAACTTTTGTAGCTAGTCAAATTTGACCTGAAGTAGTGCTACTTTTTCCTAACGAAGCTTTGCTAAACTCAATTGACATAAAGTAGGTTTCTTCGACCAACAAATCAAAGGTTTGAATTTCTTGCCCCCCTTATTGTTGAACTCAAAACATGTGGTTAACTACTTTTGTATAGTCGGCAGGGTCTATCTGGGCTCTATTAGTCAAGAGTTCTCAATGTAAATTTCAGATCAACAGATCAATATGCCGTTTGTAGATTTTTAGTTGTTTTGGATTAAGATCACCTACGGTGTTGATCAAACGAGTCTTTTGTGAAATTATTTAATAAATATTAGTTTAAATAGTGGTGTCACTGAATGAATGAAATTATGTTTTCAGCGAAAAATCTAGTGATGAAGAAAGTGATTATTCAAGATACTCTATGAAAGAGGTAGATTTGGAGTTCCTTCTTAATACTAAATATAAATAGAAAGTTCTTACTAAATAATCTCATTTGCATGAAGCCTAAAAAATTTGTGATGGTTAATTTTCAGACCAACACCAATTGAGGCTTGATGGAATCGTAATTTGAAGTTGATTTATTATAGGTTTGATATTTCCTTAAGATATATGAGTCTTAGATTTACATATGTAGTATTCCAGGTAAAAACGTCAGTGTTATTATCTTTGATATATCTGTTAAGTGAATTTAATTATGAGTCTTAGATTTACATCTATAGTATCCCAGGTAAAAACGTCAGTGTTATTATCTTTGATATATCTGTTAAGTGAATATTAGAGCTTTATATCACGAGTATAATTGCTAGATCTTGTCCTCCATACCTTTCGGCCCAAATTATTGTTGGGATTCAAACCATCTTGGATTGACTTAGTGGTCAATAAGAGTCGTGTAAATAATAAAGAGCATAGACAAAATGAATTTAAGTCAAGATGATCACGTACTTAAGATTTATGGTTGTAACCGGGGCGTGTGCAAGCCGATCCAAACACTCATGGATGTTATAAATATGTGTGTATGTCTATATATGTATATATGCAATCTTTTTTTTGGAGGAAGGCATTTACACACACCTAACGTCAGCCATGGTGTGCTCCTTCATATGGGTATTCATCTTGGCTGTCATGATCCCCATTTTGTCATCTTCTTTTCGCTTTGGTACGTTAGGAATAAAGACAACCATCAGGTTTTGGTTTGGATTTGTTATTGTTTTCCAGCTCTTTTCCAAATAAACTTATCAAATTCTTAAACATATATTTGCAGTGATTAGTTAGTAAATCTTCTTTTTTGTTGTTATTTAATCATCAAATTGATTTAGTTCATGTCCAACAATGAATTCATTGACATAATCATCATGGAAAATATGTAATTTGCATCCTGTCCTCTTGTTTTCTGTTGAATAGCAAAAGAATATCATCCCTTCAGCTAGCTGCTGTCTTTTGTTCTCTTATAGTAAATGAGACTCTCTGTATGGTAACAAAAAGCATATTGCTTTCTCCATTATATATAAAGTTCATCTCTAGCTGCTAGAAGAACTGTATTTACATAGGTAAATAATTAACACTTTGTGGTAATTTCCTCACTCTTTATGTGCATCAGTAGAAGCAATATGTGGTAAGAAATTGATTCTATTGAAGTGTGGATTAGGTTCTTTCCTTCAAAGGGATTCTAGTTGTCTGTTCAAGCAATCTATATAGCTCTACTTTTTGCAATGCTGTGTTCATAATTGTGTTTATCCAATCTATCTGTATAATCACTTACTTCAATTTTCTGTTGTAATCCTGCTTTTCCAGCTAAGGCAGATCCCAGGAATTATGACCTCAATAGATGCTTTTTTCACCATTGGCGTTTACCATGTCGAAGGACGAACGTATTAGTACATTACTGCGGTAAATTTCTTTTTCTTTAGCTATGAAATCCTGAGTGTTTCAGAAGAAGTTTTATTCCTGTAGTATGAGGAAACCATATGCTAGTTTCTTTTTGAAAACAGAGGAAACTTTCTGCTGCTCGTGTTTTTGTTTTCTTTACTCGTTTGATTTTACTAATCTAATTCTGAGAAAATTCTGAGAAAATAGGAGGATTTCACCCGGAGCTGGTTGCTTCCTCTTGGTATCAATTCTAAAGATAGGTTGATATTAGTTTCATCACATTTTTGTATCAATGTGGTAATCAGTTCGACTCGGCCGGGTTTGGAGGTTTAATCAAAAGCAAAACCAATTGAATCTAGAGAAGTATTAAGTCGAGAATCTCTCATTACCCGGTAATGATCAAACTAGAATGTCGATAGAATCTCTCATTACCAGGTATTGATATATTCCGTTGTCAGAGTTTAAAAGTTTGAATCCGTCCAGTTCAAATATGAGTTAAGATTTAAACTTCTAACCTCTTAGTTGAGTTAAAGATATAATATCTTTACGGGTATGAAACCAAATAGAAAGAAAAATGGGGTTTAAAAAGTAGGTTTTGAAACATACTATTCCATACAATTTGGTTACTTTTTTCTTCATCTGTCCTCGACTTTTGTCTGAATGAAAGCCTGGCTTCCTCTGGAAGATCAGAAAAAGTTGCGTCTTTGACTCTGATCAACTTTATCAAGGGAAAACAACAAACAATAATAATGTGTGTTGGAATAAAAAAAAATATCATTAATTTCTTAATATCTATGAAATTTAGTTTAGTATGCATCAATTTTGTCATTCTAGTTTTTTTTTTTTTTTTTTTTTTTTTTTTTTTTTTTTAATGATTTAGGTTGGTTTGTACCGATAGTTTTTACTTTTAGAAACTCTTCAAAACATGACGGTATTGCAATGGATGCAGATGAATGTTAGGGTCATCATGTGTCGAATCTAAATTCTAAATTTTAGTTCAAATTATGGGATGGACACGACTCTCCACAACGGTATATAAGCTTTCATAGTTTTGCTTTGAGCTTCTCGAAAAGGCCTCAAACCAATGGAGATAGAATTTTTTTTATTATAAACTCAATCCATGATCATTTACTAAATTAGTCGATGTGGAACTTTCATCATCTAACATCTCCTCTCGAACAAAGTACGCCTCTCTTTAATCGAGGCTCGACTCTTTTTTCTTTTGGAGTCTTAGTCATTTTTTGACTATGCCTTCAAGGAGGCTCGACTCCTTTTCTTTTGGAGTCCTTTGTTCGATATTTAAGGATTTATCAATCTATTGGCACGACTATGTTTAAAGACATGGCTCTGATACCATGTTAGATGAACACGACTCTCCACCAGTGGTAAGACAATTAAGCTATGTTTAAATGCAATTTTTTATTCCTATCTACTCTTAAGGTCTCTTTTGACTTTACAAAATTATTTCAATCTTATAAACTTATAAACTTGAAAATGGTTGACACTACAAAGTACATTCCAAACCCGAATTCCCCTCAAGCTTAAGATACAAGTTTGGTAATGTAAAATAAATTCTAAATCGAACCAAATCGAACAGAATATTAAATATAAGCTCCATTTTCAATTTTGAGCTACAAAATTCAATGTAACAGGTCAAACTATTCCCCATATGCTTAATAAACATGTTTTTTTTTAAAAGAAATTTAAATCTTAATAAAGAGAAATTGTGTTTTTATATTATTATTATTATTATTATTATTATTATTTTGTGTTTGGCAATGAAAAATAAAAAAATGCATGGGTTTTGCTATTCTCAATGTTTGACCATATTAAATGAATTTATTAACAACAAATCCCATAAATTATAAAATGCCCAATTTTATGTTTTATTATTCACTTTTTTTAATTAAAAAACATTGACTCGATCTAGAATTTGGATCTAGATTAGGTGTCGGATAACTCAGATCCTACCAGATCCTACAATATCCTTACTTTTTAAGAGTGGAAAACAGACAAAACTCCTCAAAGATTATATATCCAATATATAACTATTTCGAGTAAAACACGTTTAATCATAAAATTTCTTTGATTGAGCTTCCAAAAAGGAAGTGTACCTTGTTGGTATGTGCAGTGACTTTCAATTTTTTAATCTTTTTTAATTATTATATTTTAAAGATCGTTCTCATTTAAATGTAATCTCGTAAATATTAAAGATGGGTTAAAAACAAAGTACAGATAATACCATAATATATTTTTCAAAATATTAAATATAAAATTATTTTCCATAAATAACACTGCCCTGACAGTTTTAAATTGCATCATGCCAAAAATGATAACAGTTTGATGATTTATTTATATATATATATATATATATTTTAAGCGTAGAAATTAAACTTTTTTTTATTTTTCCCTCCCACGTGTCTCTATCACCGTCGTCAATGTCGAGGTCGGTCGTCCGTCAAAATTATCGGCTCAAATTCCGAGTATACCCCCACCAATTTATCGAATTTACAACCAATGCCATCCACCGCGTATGCCTTTTTTCTAGAAACAATTTAAAAGAATAAAAACAATAAATATGAAGTGGGGCCCGCACCAACTCATAAGGTGGACATTTTCGTCATTTCACACGATTATGTCATGTTATAGTTGAATATTTACATTTTATTAATCCCCAATTTTATTTATTTATTTATTTATTAATTGACAAACCACCATAAATATTAAATTTTCATGCACCCATTTAAGGAAACATGTCAATGTACTATAAATTATGTCTTTGAAATTATAAATAAATGTGTATTTACTCGTAGAAACGTTTACGAGGTGAGGTGGGTACCGGGAAAGATTTTTTTATCCCCGCTTCTTATTTCAATTTTCAGCCCAAACCTACGTTTAGCAAATCTAGTCAAAGTCTTACGATTTTAGAAGACATCTCTTAATGAGACGTTTCCACACCTTTATAAGAAATGTTTCGTCCCCTCCCTACCCGACATGGAATCTCACAAGATAATTTCCAAGAACTCGAATATGATGTTCAGTGTCTGTGTGGGGTAAGCCAAGGATTTGGGACGGGGACGGAGAATATAATTCTCGTCTTTACTCCTGTTCAACTAATGGAAAGGAATATCTCCTCACTTACTCCCTCATGTTCTCCGTTTAAATGAGCGTTTTTTATCTTATTCATTACGAACAATTTGACCGTTCCTTTTAATTAATATTTTACTTTGATACCTACACACGAAAATTAATATCTTTCCATCTTTGAAATTAAAGAAATAGGTCAAAATTATGGTATCTTGAGGTGAGGTAGGCTAGCCCGACTTTGCTCCCTCCTACCATAGTAGTTTGTTCGAGGTTCAAATTCTCATATTTTATATTTGACCTTTGTTGTATTAAAAAAATATTTTCACGGATGGGAGATTACTAGATATATATATATATATAAATAATTTTTTTAATTATTTTAATTTTAAATTATTGATTGATTTTGAAATTTGTGGTCGTATAGCT